AGAAAAGACCGGTAGATAGATCTCTAATTTTGTGAGGGTATGTAACCATTTTCCAAAATAAAACTTCTCAGTGACTTTGAAATAAACTAGCAACGTTTAGGCTCATTTATCAAGTGAGGATATTTTCACAAATGTATTTCTGGTTCAAGCGAGCCATTTTTTATTTTTTACACAGCCCACTTATCTGGATTGAATGTAACCACAGAGCACGGATCCAGGTTCAGTTCAAACTTTGTGTCATAATTTCTTTCAAGCCATTTCACATCTCCAAGAACTTCTTCCTTTACTTTATCACAAGTTATGCAAGAACTAAACTCATCTCGTGAACAGTAGTGTTATTATTTTCTTAGTTGTGTAGCAACTCGTAAACTTTGATGGTTTTAAAAATCAGAATTAATTTAAACAAGGTACACATAAATTGACTCTAGGTCCGAGCTGCGGCCAATTCAATCCAGCTAACACCAAACTGACAACATGGCTGTTAAAGTAAAACAGATGAGGTTTGATTACGTTTGATTAACCTGAGAGAGACTGTCAGTCGGTTATAAACTACCACTATGTACAACATCCTTTTTTTACTGTAACCTATGCGGTACAAAAAAAATGAATTACTGTACTTATCAGAAGGCAGTCTAGAACAAAAACAAGCAATATATTGTTTAATTGTTTTTTCTTGTTCATGATCGGAGTTCAAACAAGCATGAAACACCAACATGTTGTCTACAGGTGCAGAATATTTTTATATGACTATTTTATTGTCTCCACCAGGTTTGAAACAAGCACAAACGTTCACCTCAGGTTCCAGACTTCGTACTTCACAAGGGTTTTTTGTTGTTGCGTAATGTATTTTAGTATTTCATTCTCAACATACTAACCAGGCAATAATCTGTATGAAATCTCAAGTGGTCAATGATTAGACCAGTTTTAAAAACATCTCAAACCGTATCTAGTTAAGGCTCTCTCAGCCACATCAGACGGATGAATATTCCCATCCTCTGTAGTGTAAAGAAACATCTTTTCACTCTTCCAGCCCACACGTAAAGTCCTCGCAAACTGAATACAGTTCTGAAATTAAAGGGTTTTACTTATTTTTTTTTTAATGGAGGCCTTTAACCCAGCTGACAGGCGCTTGAAACTGTCCAAAAATACCCTGAAGGTTCTGTAAACAGATATGGAATCGACAAGGTTGAAGTGGTTACAGCAGCCTTTCTGGGTTGACTAGTGAATCCAAAATCCTCAGTGGAACTCCTACACCGCACATCTCAGCAGCTGTACAGTAAAACTCCACTCAATGCTAAGATGCTCATACCCCAGCATTACCTTTCAATTTCACTCAATCAGCCCTTTCACATACGTCTAACATGCACAGATTTGTATGAGACATTACAGTAATGCTAAAAAGAACCAGATGAGGACTTTAGGTGCAGGTTTAAACAGTGCAGCTACCCTTCAGAGGCAGCATCACTGTTGTGGAATCCACATTAACTATCAGTTCTGTTTAACTTCTTTAAAATCTTGTCATGCAAGCTAATGACAGTGGGCTGGGAAAACACGTCACGATTGAGGTAAAGAGAAGAATAATGACCATAAGAACAGCTTCAGTGCTCTGCGATTACTTCTATCATCCGTCTACTCATCCAGCCTTCTGTGCTCCTTAATCCAAGGAAAACAGCATCCATCCCCTTCCATGAAATGAAGTGGTGACTATCGATTCTCATCCATGTTAAAGCAATATGATTCGCTCATGCTAACAAAATATATAAGAAGGGATGGAAGATGGTTTTAGTAGTTTTTTTTAAATACAGCTAAAAGTAGCATCAGCATCAACTTGTTTATCATCAGTACCTCTTGGAAACAAAGCGAACTAAGCGGCAAACAGGAGAAATGCAACTGTACAAAGGTGACTCAAGATGAGAGCAAGCTTAACACGTCTGCCGTCATCCATTAGCACCTTTAGGACACGGGAGGGAGGACAGAGAGGCACAATGAAGAGGAGGTGGTAGAGAAGCATGGGATTATTTTTAACAGAACTGAAAATGTGGCAACAGGAAGTGAATCTCCCAGGAAAAGATGGTGGGGGATAAAGGGTAAAAAAGTAAATTTTTCAACCCATGTCCTTGATTATGAAATATGAGAGCTTAAAGCATTATTTACTTTGTGGGTTGGATGCAAATTCACCACAACAAATGAAAAATGAAAGGTTTTTTTTCCTCAGTCATTGGGAGAAAGAAGTGGTGTCAAAAAAAGGCAACCTTGAACATCTTGTCTCATAAGTTATAAAAAAATAAAAGCAGGGGAGATGTCTATACATTTAGTTATCACCCAAAGAGAGAAGGTGGTTCGTGCTAATTGGGTAGTGTAACCATGTGATAGTAGCATTGTGGGCAAATATGCTTTTGCTAAAATAAAATGTAACAAACCATATTAGCATATTATTCGTGTTAGAATACAACGGAGACTTCTGAGACTGTTTTCAAGGGCTTGATGATGCTTCTCACTCACGACACCCGCGAAAAAGACAAAGAAAACCAATACATCCTGGTGAAAACGTGGTGTCATATACGTAGAATACACGAGTAGTTCAAGAGAGTTTGTGGTGATAAGAGTCGACACTGGTTGGGGTGTGTGTGTGTGTGTGTTATGTGAAACCATGTAATTTCCATAGCAGAGTTAATACATCACTTCCTGCCTCTGTCTGCAGCACCCGGCTGCTCTTATTCTCGCCTGAATAATGTGGAGGATTTGTTGCTGTTGGGAATGTGCAGAGAACCTCCCACTGTGTTGTACATGTGTGAAAGGCAAACTGTGGGTAAACACCGTAGCCAATTCTCTGAATTTTACCCGCAGGTCATGTCTGAAAATAGGAGATGAGAGCAAGATGGCATGAGGTTAACTGTGGCTTGTGAAATAAAGTCGGCAAACTGCTTTTTTTTTTTTCTTGATTGGGAACTACTGATAATCATTAAGTGGGAGAGAAAAGATGAATTGGACATTGAACCAAGAAGTAGAAAACGACAAACAGGAGCTATGTGTGAAAGCTCACACTGCATTCTGCCTTTGTAGCGGGAAACAAAGAGACATGTGAATCTCAATGTGACATCAACATCTGTAGCCAGGTATTCCACCATCTGTTCATTTTAAACGGCCGTAGAGATGACCATTCAAACTCAAAATGTTTGCAGAATAGCAGGCAGCTCAAGCTTTCACACACAGCCTTAAAAGTTGCTGGCTTTTTAAACCAATCAGAAAAGGTGTAACTGGAGTCGAATCAGTGGCAGCAGCCACCGCAGTGCCCCCCCCCATGGGTGTGTCCCGCCGATGCCTCGCCGTGTTTGGTCCGCCGGCTCAGGATCTCATAAGAGCAGTCGTCACCACAGCAACCGGACATGCTCGGCGAAGTTTCGTCGATCTCAAACCTATAAAAAGGTGACATGAGAGGGGTTATGTTACTCAGGATGAAGGAGGCCGAAGAGGTAACGTGAAAGGGGAAGAGTGATATTTCAGCATATGAGCCTCATATATACATGAAGACAGCCATCAACACTTACTACAAACTACTACTGCTGAATAACAAGAAATGGTGCAAGGTGTGCAATTAAACATGCGCTCAATCAATTCCAGTGTAGCATTTCCAAAATTAAGTTTCAGCTTTGTGTTTTGGTACAAATAAATGTACAGTTACACCCATACTCCTCAGGTTGTGTACCACTGAGGTTTTGACCTGTTGCATATATCTCCATTTTATTACAGCCACCCTTGGTTTTGTCTTTTATTTATATATGAACAGATATTTTCATTGCAGATTGATGTTAGAAAAATGAAAGGCATGGCACGGTCTTTTTTCTTTTTTTAAGCTCTTATGGAGTCAGTATACTTACTGTAAAGCATCTCTGAAGAACTGGTAAGCCCCATGGTTGTGTTTGAAAACTGTCAACATCACTTTCTTCATCTGTGTACTGGACAGAGAGCACGAGAGCAGAAAAATAGAGAAAGTAAATATAGTTTGGTGAGGCTTTTCAAACTGATACGAGCCTTAGAGGTAATTGAAAAGACATGAAACACATCTCTACACATTAAATCACTCATCCAGTTTCAAAAGAAAAAGCATCCCCACACCACACCATCTAATTTTCACACTGCCATTAGGGTAGCTGTAGTTTTTACCTGTTAGCAATGAGCTGTAGTATCTGGATTAGGAACTTGCCGAGTCCTTTCCTCCGCACTCTGCTCTCTAACTGCACCTCATAGCTGGAGAATCGAGCAAAAGGTTTAAGTTCTGATAGACTTGTCCTGAAATCTAGAAACTTGCGGAATAGGAGCTTACCAATATAAAACCTCCTCCCCGCACTCCACATCGAATCGGAAGTGAGAGAAGGCCACAGGGGCGGAGTCGCCGTCACGGGCCAGCAGGTACCACGCCCTCTCGTCGTTCATCTCCTCCCTCTTTTCCCTCTCCTTCCACCCCCACTCGCTCTGCTCGTACCTACGGCGCAGCAGAAAGAAAACTTGTCGACCCAAACATGACCTGCGCTCCTAATTGTTCCCTCGCATTTCTCGGCATCATCAGCTCAGAAAGGAACCAATTTCAAAATTGAAGAAATTGATGTTGAAACGTACTGTGTGCCATTTGTTAAATTAACCCTAACCCTTCTGGCACAGCGAGAGCAGATAACTTGTGGTAATTTCTCTGCCTGATCTCAAATTTGTCTGCATTACTTGTGCTCTCCTTTCCTCAGGCTCCTCGTTGTGTATGATCTAATTCCTACTCATATTAAAAAACAGATCCACATCTCACTCTGTCCCTGTTTGATGTCACTTTACAATTCTGCTCCACACTTTGAATTTCTGGCTTGTCTGCACTTCTTCCCAGCTCTAATCTACAATGCATATCTATGCGAGTCTGTCCATTCATCTCTGGAAACAATTTGGTTCGTGAACTACACTTATAACTACAACAAGACAGAATGGGCTTCTTACAGTGTCTGCATGTTGGCTCTGGTGAGTTCGAAGGCCCACTCCACAGACAGTGGGTTGAGGGTGGTCACTCGCTTACACTCTATCTGCAGGTTCAGCCTAGACAAGAGGACAACAAGGTCATCAGCATTAAGAATGTGTGAAAAATGTGTGCACAGTGGGAGGGAGACAGAAAACCACCAGCAGACCAACTGTCTCCTCCATGTGGCAAATGAAACAAGTATGTATTTCATGAAATTCTAAATGAGTCCTTTGTAGCCATACAAAGCAATGCGTACCCGTTTCTGTCGTATTTTTTGAAAGCTGGGAAGGCAGCCAGTGGATCATCCAGCTGTGAGAAGAAGAAGCAAAATTTTCTTAAGAGGCTTTCATAACACAAACTTCAAAAAGTCTTTCCCCTTCTAAGATTTAGTTTTGATAGATTGAGCTCCATAAAATGAATGATCCCGTCAGGAGCAACTTGTAAACATCTTTGAGTTCTGATCTGGACAGAGGAATCTAAAGTGTTTTTTTATGGTTTTCTGAAATTTTATTCACAAACCATCCATCATGAATACCACCTATCCTTTAAAGGGTACAGGGAGGCTGGAGAAAATCCTAGCTGACATCGCACGTGAGGTGGGTTACATCCTGGACGGGTCGAAAACGTATCGCAGGGCTAACATAAGCTGCTTTCAAACCTGCACAGAACTCTGCATAATTTCTGGACACTCTCCGGATGGTCTGTATTTGAGCATGCAACTGCCCAAGTGTGAGCCACTGGACTTTGGCCAGCCCCCTGGTAAAACTTCTGGAGATTTTCCAAAAGAGCCGATGTGCAAACACATTATGAGATCCTCCACGGGATTCACCACAAGTGAGCGGTTGGCTGATGAAGTTTCTGACATGGGACAGATGCAAAACATAAGGAATACAAATATCTCTGCACGAAAAAGAAGCGCCTGCTGATGCTGTGTAGATTTCTGTGTTGTATTGAAAGCATCTGACTGACAGGGGAATCTCCTGCTGCTTTGGTCATGTGTGAATGTGTATGAAAACAAACCAGCATTTGAACAAGCAATGTTCTTGCTGTGAGGTAATGAATCATTCATTACTTTAATCATTATTCATGTTCTCAAATAAAACTCTTAATTTCATTGAAAGCATGAATTCACAAAGAGTTACAGTGAAAGAGACTAGAACTATGTGGATCCTAAATTCCCCAACTGTGGCTCATACAGGCAGAGAAATAACAGAGCTATTAGAGTTACGGGGCCTTTAGTCAGTCATAACTAGCATCCACAAAGTCAGGTTTTCCTTGGCCCAGAGAGTATAAATTATCTCAAATTAAGAATACCTCTTTTCTTGTATCATGAGACACTGAGGCCCAGAGGTCCAGACACTCAAACAACCACATACTTTCCAGTGATATTCTGCAGGTTACTAAGTTCTGCTGTTGTCTGAAAACATTTTGTTCATGCTCAAGGTAACTGCCCACCTACTGAAATTAAATGTTTTGGTTTTCAATATCCTTATAATTTAATAACCATTTTACCATCTTAAAAAGCTGGATGATTACAATGTTCATTTAGATATTTTTCTAATATTGAATGGCTTCAAATAATTACAATTTAAGTACAACTGAAAGATCTAGCAAAATAAAATGTCTCACTGTTGTGCATTACATAAAACAAAACTAATCTAAAAGAAACCTTTTATTTGATAGAAAACTATTTTAAAACAATTTTCAAGATAGTATAATGGTTCAGATATCACATTTTGAGGAGACCCTGGGCTTTCAGGTTAACAGTTCTGTAACTTTTTGGTTCCAGATCCTGATAACTCAGGGAAATCAGGTCAGCAGGTAGCATCATGTGGAGAAGCAGCAACAGCTATCTAACAAAATAAATATCTGTTCAGGCATCATATTTATTTATTTATTCATTTGAATGTGACATCCCTGCTTTTGACTTTTAGATACAAATCTCATCAACACTAAACGGAAGCTTAAATTTGGTGTTCCTCTGAGCCCCCAGGCCTGATGACTGATCCATCCACACTTCTGTTTCATTTAAAGACTAAGTAGAACCTACAAAGATCACGATTTCTTTGGCTTTTTGTAAGCAATGAATGTGCCATTTGTTAATTTCAAACAACAGCCCAAGTCCAAATGTGTTACTGTTGGCAACAGCATAAACAAAAATGAAAGTTACTTGGGGTGAATTTCTTGCATTCCTTCTCTGTTGGCACATCGACAGGGGGGGGGACAGGAGCCAGAGAGCGAGAACAGCACAAAACAGTAAGTGGCCCATTTTGGGACAAAGTGACACAGAAAAGTTGCAGTGAGCCTGGGCCAGCCTGTTCTGTTGAGAGCTTGTTGAGGAAGTGGCTGCGGCTCAGCTCGAGGAGAGTGTGAGAGCTTTGTTCTCCTCCAGGCTTCAGCACAGCTTACTAATGCTCGAGCCCACCTCCAAGCTGCAGGAGCTGTCTGTCTGCTGTGTGTTCTGTTAGATGGGCAGGATTTAATATTGCCTATTAATTATGCATTGAGAAACATATGGCACTGCATTCTGCTTTTCATTTCAAGAGCACATCAATTATTGGAGTAATTAGGGCAGGGAGGGCACAGTGAAGGTTTTAAATTCTAAAACATCATGTGTTAGAGGGCCATGTGGTGGTGTCTTTATGTCAAGCATAACAGATACAAAGAGTGCTTTTATTTTTCTAGATAATGCATTGTCATTGTCATTATCAACTGGCAGGACAGCACAACCAGAATATTTCTCTCTTTTATTGCAGTAAGAAAGACGTTTACACCCTAACCTCTTATTCTCACACACAAAAAAAGTAATCAAAGTTGATAATAGCTGCCTCTCTGCAACCAAAGTTACCTTATTGGCAGTCTCCACCTTTGCACAGACAGCGTCCATAGCCGCCCTCTCCTCCAGACGCCGGGCCTTCTTCTCCTTTGCTCTGTTGGACTTCCTCTGGACACAAGAAATAAGGAAGAGATGAATATAGTATTAATATGCAGAGATGGAAATACACGTGCAGTACTTTTCAGTAAAGCATCATCTGACCACCTCTCACAGACAGAGTAAATCACTGAATCCTCTTAAAGTCTTATTATATTTCATAACTTAACTGTGATGCAGCTGTTGAAAAGTGCTGATCGCCTTCTTAAGATACAAATATATGAACCAAAGAACCCATAGGATTGCATCCCTGAGATGGTGGACAACCTTTGCAAAGTTAATGACCATACTTGAAATACACATTTAGTGAAATAAATTTCATAAGAGGAATGGGTGCAATAAAAAAGTCAAAATAAAGAAATAAAGTACAGCCATGATCCATTAATATAATTTACTGAGATCTTTTGCTCTTTCTGTCACTTCAATTACTATTTCTCAAGATCAATTCTACATTTTAAACTAATTATTTCCATCTTGGGGCTGTAAATATAATTCAGTATTCCCAGGCTCTGGTTTTGTACGATACAGATCTTCATTGTGTCTTTAGTGTGTAAGTGTGAGAAAATTTGGAATTTCAGCACTGAGGTACAAAAGCATTTTTCACATAAGACATAATTGAAAAACCTGGTGACAAACATCAATGAGCTCAACCCATGACCAATGAAACAAGTCCTGGTTTCAGCCAGTGTTCTACTCGTGTTAACTTCAGTTTTATATTTAATACCATGCATGTAAGGTATTGAGATTTTTACAGCCATAACTTAAGAACAAATTGAAGGTGGGAAATTAGTCCCACCTGGATTCTGCAGCTGTCTTTTATCATTAGTAGAAACTATTAATATGCTTTTTCTGTGTGTGCAGACCTCATTGTAGAACCTGCATCAACATGACAAACACAGACTTTCTGACCCAAGAACACAAAAAGACCTCAAAACCTCAGAACTAGTGCAACCAGATGTATCAAAGCAAAACAAACAAATGTAGAAAGGAATGCATCACTTAACAATGGAAAAGAGAATCTTACTACTATTAAAAGCATGATCTTTCAGTCTATAAAAACTGCAAAATAACAATAGAGAAGACAAAAATAATTCACATCAGGAGCTTTTATGAACAACACTTGTCAATGGGGTGTGAAACACTGGTGTGTTTATACTGTATGGCTGCATATTGCTGTCAGTGTGGGATTATAGTATTGGAAAAATCCTGTGATACTGATACTCTAATTTAACCGGATCCTGGCTTCGTGTCCAGTGCTTGTGTCAGCAATGGTGCAGCTATAATTCACACAAATAACTCTGGCTGCATCAATTTTTTTTGCAACAGCAAGAACACACACTAACAACTGCTGCAAATGTGTTTCTACAGTAAACCAAGATAAATGATTAGCAATCTTTAACTATTGACATCTGTGATTTATAGACAAGATGAACAGTCAATTACAATGAAAACTTGGAAGGATGCAGTATGGGTCAGGAATAGGACCTATTAAAATTAGGTGTGGATCTAGATCAGGGGAAGGATTCAGACTTTTTCTCCTCTTTCTTATGGTGTCTTTTGACAGTTACACTATTTCCCAGGAACCAGGAAAATAATTCAAGGATCTTAATAAAAACCAGGCATATTTAGAGGACAGATGTCTATTAGGGGACTGTTGGAGCATGGCAGAGGTATGAGCTCTACTGAGAGCAATTCTAGTTTAAAAGCTTCCACTGGTGAAATGAACCTGCCTGATGACATATAATACTGCATAGAAATAACCATGTTGCACGTCCGAATTTATACAGGAAGTGGACGTACTTACTCGATGAAATTAGAGCCACCCCCTCCAACATTACAGCAAAGGAGATATTAATCTATGGATATGCCATTTGTTCAATTGGTGTGACTACTATTTCAGTCATAAACAAACTAAATTGATTACAAGACAAGATCTGGGTCAGGATCTGGGTTAGCACAGAGTAATTTTAGATTACTTAGATGATCTACTCAGTCTTTAATCAAGAAAACACACTGAACATTATTGGTCTCCACTCCCTATAATGTGATGCTGTTCTGTTTTACATTGTACATCAACTACATTTGTGTTCATACAAAAAAATAAATAATTTGAAGATGTTACCCCATGACCAGACAAACTTTCTAGATTATGGGAAAGTAATTACAACCAAATTGCATTACTGTGACTCAGAAAGCCAATCTATTCACAGCATGTTAATCAAGTTCACAGGGACATGTTTACACTCCTAAATGGAGGCATCATGGACAGACAATGGCTAAAGAAAGAGGGGGGGGGCAGGCAAGTTAGAAAATTAGCTGAATTCCTCAATTAGAACCAGACCTGAACAGAGTTGAGAGAAGGAATGCGGTGAATTGCCAACTGTAGCTGAGAGCATTAATTCAGTACCAAGCACAGAGAGGCTGCAGACTGTGCAAACACGTGGATTGGTTTAAGAGGAGTGAAAGTGGCGGATGAAGTCACGTCTGCTTAAACTTGTGGAAACTAACTCCTAATGAAGGCCTGGTTAGTGCTGAGTATAATGCTAACCCCCACAACCAGCATGGGTGTGTGGTAACCAGGCTGGTTAGCACGGCACAGTTAGTAAAGAAAGATGTGTACACACACACACGTAGAGTTGAGTGGTTAGCATTCACAGCTAGCAAAGCACTCGTCGAGAATGTGGCATTCCGGAGTGGCTACCACAGCTAGCATGCTAACAATGTCACAGCACACGCCGGTGGGAAGTTAACTGTGCACAGCGGCGAGGACAATACTGACACAATGCTAGGAAAATACCAGGTGCAGTGCGCGTGTGTTAGCCGAGGCTAGCTGCTGCTGCTGCTACACAAGGCTGTGTGGAGGTAGCTACACGGCTAGCCAACACCTTGAGCTACATCCATCCACCACGGTCTCTCTTCCTCTCCTTTCCCGTCCTCCCCCCTTTCTTTCCCTTCCTCTCCCTCGCACCTCCATAATTCAGCCTCCCACTCAATAAAAACAATATTTCATTGTGTGTGTGAGCAGAAACAGGAGCAACTCACCCCCATTTTTTTGGCGCTGTGTCTGCTCGGCTCCTCCAGGAGAAACACGCCTCTATTGTCCCCGCGCTCCGCCGCTGCCGAGTTATTAGTATCGTGGCCACAGAGACGAGGGGGCCACAGTCACATTAATATGACAACGGGGGGTGGTGTGCGGCCGATGCTAGCAGGCTAACACACCGAGCGGTGGCGGCGGCGGTGGCCGAGCTCGAATGTTCCGGGAGGAATAAATAAACGAGGATCGGACTGTTTTATTTCGCTTTACTCGGTTGGCGCCAAACAGCGAGCGGCTGAACACACGGTCTGCTCCTCTGCCCCTTTCTCCGCTCCGCCGCGCCGCCTTCACGTGCTCCTCCCCAGCTCAGACTTCTCACAACCCACCGACACCCACGGGCGCTCCAAGGCCGTGACAACACTAGGGCTGCTCTAAAACTAGGTGGGAATTCACATACAGTGAGTAATAATAAATACATAATTCATTAATTAGAGGAAATTGTTGCAGTTCCATTTACAAGTATTCTTGTTTTAAATCAGTCACAGCAATAATACATTTTTATTTTAAAAAGGTCAGCCCTTCTATTGCTGCCCTTTATTTCTTCCAAACCTATACCACGCTTCAGACCGAATAGATACAATACAGGTAGTCATTTATCTTAAAGTCTAATATTTTACCTTTAACTCTAATTGACTGTGTGCACCTTGCTTCCTTGTGGATAAATGTAAAGGTATACTGTGGGGAAGTCACACTTTAGGCCCTGCAGGCACATCATGGCCTCTCGTCATACATACAGCTGAGCTGAGCCACAGCCAATATTTCAACTCATCCTGTTGGAGTGTGACTCCTGTCTGCATTCTTTATCCTCTGTCTGTAAACTTGTAGATATGAAACTCTTTTCTGCATAATGAAGCGAAAGGCCCCCCTCCCACCTCCACACACCTCTAGATCTAGTTTTGTTGTCGGCCCAGTCACCTTTTTAATATTTTGGGTAGTTTATCTTTTAACAATGCCTCACCTTTTACAAGATCACCAAAGGTTCTGTGTTCAAAAGGTAATACGATTAAAAAAAAGTCCTTTATTAGTCCCACAACTGGGAAATTTGCAGTATTACAGCAGCAAGAAGATCTGTAACCTGCAGAAGACTTAAACTCAGCTCTTGGTTTGAATGTAATGGAATAAAAATTAAAATATTTCCCTTTGAAATGTGGTTGAGTAAAAGTACAAAGCCGGAGATAACAAAATATGATTAAGTAAATTGTGCTCACCATAGACTGTACAACATTTACTGGATTAAATGTACTTCCCCATCATCAGCCCAGAGTACTCAGGACAGTGAATGAATTCTATTATTATTTCAATGACTCACACATGTTGCACAGTAAAATATTACAGCCAGTCAACATGGAAAACATTTCTCACCCACACGTTTGGTGTGAAGTAGATACGAATGTCAGTTAAATGTTGTGAGTATTTCCTGTACTTTCACCATGTTGTCTACTGATAACGTCACGTGACACTTGATATTAGAACGATTAATCCAATATAGAAAAGTTATCTGGCAGCGGTGGGATTCGAACCCACGCCTCCGAGGAGACTGGAGCCTTAATCCAGCGCCTTAGACCGCTCGGCCACGCTACCGTGCACAACGACGTTACCTGGTACTCAATATTCCCACAGCAGTTGAACGCGTCATTGTACTTATTATTTTATTATAATTTCTTCCATATGCCTTACTCTTTGTAGGTCACGCCCCCCCCCACTCTAAAATAGGTTCAAACTGAGGTGATGGGATGCAAGACATAATAGTACTGCAAAATAAATTCAGCAGTGCAAATACTTTATAGCTAATATGCAGATAATATACAGTTGTGAGAAATATTGTTCATCTACAAGAAAAGTCAGATAGTAGCATTAATAAGAAGAAGAAGAGGAAGCAGAAGAGGAAAAACTCTTTATCTTACATTCACATTGCAATTGACATATGCATGCCATCTAATTGACTACTGCACAAATGTCCTTATCTGTGCATGATTTATTTAGTGACTGCTCTCCTATGGAAAGGCCTACAGTAATTTGAATAGTACACAGTCAGTATGAACATTTAGCACATAACAAAACAATAAACATTTTATTGCTCAAAAAGCTGATTATTCAAGACAATAGTTGTGTGATATCAGTACCTCTGTTTGCACTGTTTCATATAAGTAATGATGAGGTAATTTATATGCTTTTGGGGATTAATTCGAACTAAGTAATTAGTCTGAGTAAAAGAAAACATTGCAGGAGTATATATTGTACTCTGATTTCCACAACTGAAAACAGAGGCGTCAAATTCAATCATCATGACGGCAAATTATACTTTTTATTGGTGCACAAAAACTGAATCTGACTCTGCTCATTGACATCACAAAGTATATTTATTTTGAATCCAGTAGAAAAAGGTGACAGTGTCCAAATGGTTACAGGTCACGTCCTTGGTATGTTTGGGAACACAAGAACCTATAGCGCATTGTTTTATAATTTTGCAACAATGGGCCTTTAAAATGATGAGTCTTTAGGCCACAAAAATGTAGAAATGCATAAATGAATAAAAATCTAAATTCTCAATCTGAATTTAGAGCAATCTCAACACATACCTTAGAATACACATCATTTTTTGTTGTACAATGAATTTTATTCAGAGAAAAGTTCATTAAATGTTGAGAATATGGAGACTAATAGGACATTTTACTGCATTTGCAGGTCTCCTTTGTATTAGCAGTTATTATAAATCCTTAGTTAATGGGTTACAAAGTGGGGTTTTGTGATTAAGATTACAGATTTCAGATGTCTGATGTCGACCAAGGTTCTGGTGTAATAAAAAACATTGTGTATTAAACAGTGTATTCATTTTCTCTCTAAGTTTTGCAGGCCTGTGGTCAAAGAGGGTCCCATATCCTGCTCAATGTATGAAATGCTAAAATAAATAAATACATAAATAAATAAATCAGCTCATAGACTTGAAGCGGTTAGTGGCAGAGACCACTAGGTGGCAATATTGAGTATGAAATGACCCATTTTCTATTGCTGCCCTTTATTTCTTCCAAACCTACAGTTCAGCTTCAGACATAAATGATGAGATAATACAGTAAGAATAGTCCTTTATCATAAAGTCTAATGTTTTACTATTTTCACCCTTGACTCCAAATCTTACAAACAAACTCTAATTGACAGATGAATGAATCTTAAAACACCCTCCACCATTACAGATATCAATGCACCGTCTTTCCTTAAGGAAAAGCAACCTCAAAAATATAAAGGAATACAGTGTGAAAGTCACACTTAAGGCCCCTGCAGGCACATCATGGAGCACATGGTGTGAGGAGAACTAAAGGAGAACATGAACACGACAAGGTCATTGTAGACTGAACACACACTGAGGACATACACCATGTTTTAATTATTCAACTATAATCTTGAATACAGAGACATAGGTATGACAAAATAGATATAGAAACAACACCGAGGATTACCTTTACAACATATAAATAATATAATATTATTATAATGTACACAATAAAATTAAACAATATACAGGAATATTAAAGAAATATAGTGACATTTCTTCAGGATTAAAATTAGCTCACAGATATTTATATTTTACACATTTGATAAATTCTTCAGTAGAGCTGGAATGAATGATAATTAGTGAATTTTCCTCATATCAGCTATCTAAAATATCACTTTTTTCAGTCTATAAAATGTCAGCACATATTGAGGAAAGTAAATGTGATAAAGTGTGACATCATCAGATCCTTTGATGCCTTTTTCTGAACAGCTGAAATAATTGATCATCAAAAATAGCTGCACTCAATCATCTGATCGTCTCATTGACTCAGCTCAGCAACACTGTGTTGAGCAAGAAACAGGTCGAAAACATTGTTCTAGTTTGCTAATTTTATGAACATTGTTTGCAACCATGAATTGATGATATTGCTCCATCAGTTTCTTAGAACCTCACTGTAAAAAATGTTACAATGTGTAGCACCACTCCAATCCTAAATAAGTGTATTTGGATTTCTGTTGAAAAGAGTCTGATAAGGACGCATCTCTGGGCTCTAACAACATCATGTTAATCGACATATGTTGGGTGACAGACATTTCTTTGTCTGTTGTCTTTTGGTGAACAAAACAAGACAACTTTCTTCATATAACCGCATTCACTCATATAACATATAACACACAAAACCTTAAATGTTTCTTTTGTGCATTCACAAGGCTCCATGGTCACATCTATATTGTTTTACCTCTGTTCAAATGTGCAAACACAGTCTCTGGTAGACAAAGATTCCCACTTCAATTCTTCTCTACATATTGGGGATTTTCTGCAAAAGGGTTAAATATCACTAAGGAGCCCGCTGGCCGTGACTGTGAGCTCTTGGTTTGATGGGATATGAGATGGCCACCATCAGAAGCCTACCCACTTTTCCATAATGCAAATAAAGGCCTTGTCTGGGGGGGCCTCTCCCTCTCTCACTCTGCATCTCTCTCACACAACACACACACACACACTCATGCAGCAGCTCTCCCCAGCACACAGATGGCCCAGTCTCTAAACCCCGCCTACAGTCTTTTGTCTTCAGGGAATCTGTCTCTGGCTGTGGGCAGAAAAACTATTTATTTCATGTGTCGGTAGGGGGCGCGGCGAGGGACAGGCAGTTGAGACGGAGGCCCAGATTCTCATTGTATAAGTCTCTCTCTCTCTCTGTTTCTGCAGCTGAGACACAGCCAAACATTTCAACTCATCCTCCAGTTGAAGTGTGACTCTTTCTCCTCCTGTCTGCATTTTGTCTTCCTCTGTCTGGAAACGTAAATGTAAAAATGAAACTCTTTCCCCCCTCAAGTGAGTGTATGTGTATAATGAAGTGGAAGGCCCCCTCCCACCTCCAGTCACACACACACACACATAGCCACATGCATGCTCACACATATCCCTTTATATCTCATGCTTCAGCTCAGCAGAAAGAAGAAGATAGATAGATAGATGAGGAGGGAGAGGATGGGGGGTAGATGAGGAGGAAAGAACAAGGATGAGGATAAGTGGGAGAGATGAAGAAGGAGGGAGAGAGCCTAGGAGGAGAGAAGCAGAGAGGGGGAGAGAGGGTATCAACAGATGCAGTGAGGAAAGTACCAGAGGAGAATGGTGGATGAGGGATGAGGCATTGCTCCACACAGAGAGCCCTGCAGCACAGAAATGCACAACACAGAGTGGACGACATCTCCACACGCTCTGGTTATTCTGCTGAGATGAGAAGTCATTGCACAGTGTTATCTACATTCGGCATCTCTGCAATAATTGGAGATGATTTATGGCTGACAACTTTCATATGTAATGGTTAGGTATGAACCAAATGGTCACGAATTCCACAAAAAACCAAGATAG